AAAATCGTTTTCAGTTATTTTCACTTTTTTACTTATGAATAATTGGTATAAAAAAATTAAAATATCAAAAATTGAGTCTTATACGTCACCCGATATAACTCCTCTACAACTTTTAATTGAGGTATTTTGCTCTAAAACCATTTACTTATCGTATTATTGGAACAAAATTGGAATGTTTTTGTACTTTATTTTCGCTGGTTTAGCGTCAATGTTATATTATTGTAATTGAATAATAAAAATAATAATATTTATTATAATCAACGGTATTATGGTAATACATACGAAAATATTAGTAAGATAAAAATTAAATACATAATTGGTATGTCTATATTGATATTTTTACAAACTAAATGTAAATCGTAAGTTATTGTACGTAAAATATTGTTAACTCGAATACTTAAAATCTTTGTACAACAATTTGTACGGTAAAAACTAGATTTTCTAGCCAACATAATATTGTTATATACAAATAGGTATACAATTGGGCTGACAGCGGCTTTAATTAAAAGATGGTTAGTGTAGGTATAAGAGCGAATATGGCGGCAATGCATTTACGTGTATGAATTTTATTTCGACGGGATATGTCACGGACGAACGTTCATAAGATAATAAACAACGCTCCCGAACTCGACAACGCGTCGGTCGGTACGCGGCTGTGAGTAGTGGGCGCGGCTTAAACGTCGCGTGCTTGCGAATCACGAAAACACCTAACAGCGCATTCTCTTGGTCATTGCATGGTTTCGTTTGCCCGTGTGGCGTCCTCTTAATAGATTAATATTATAGCCTAGGTAAGTATATATTGTATAACAGTATAGATTGACTGCTTGGGTGGGTTTTATCTTTATTTTCGACGAGTTTATATTTTGTTGACATCAGTGGCGGTTTTTTGAATTTTTTCTGGGGGGGTCCTTTAATATTATCTTATAATGTATAAAGACAAAAAAGTTTAACCCATGAATAATTACTAAATAAAATTTAATTCTTACATAAAAAAAAAAAAACAGCATTTTAGTTACAACTACCAATTATAACACAAAATCAATTTTTCGTTTTTTTTTTTTACTAATTCGTCCAAAACTTCGTCAGTCGTTAATTGTAAATCCTTATGTATACACATCATAGCCAGACCATTTAATCTTTTCTGAAATATTTAATATTGTAAAATATGAATTATGATTTCCTTTATTAGGTACTTACTTCTCCAATGGTGTTCCTCAAATAAGTTTTTATTCTTTTAAGATTTGAAAAAGTACGTTCATTAGATGATGTTAAAACTGGTAATGTGGCTAGTATTTGAAGAAGTTTAGATAAAATGCAATATAGAAGTTTAGATATTTATCTAGGTCTAGTTAAAAAAAATTAATACATTCATATATGAAAATTAATTTTATTATATTTATGTTTATAAATATCATCTTATACTGTTCGACTTACCATCATCGACTGGTGCAGCTACTCTACTAGGCCCTGCCACATTTAGATCTTTTTCATCATTATTAGATGATGAATAAATACCCAGCTCTAAAATATAGCAACAAAAAAGTATTTATTATTTAGTTATTAAGACTAACACGCATATAGTATATTACCATCTAATTTCTTGATATTTTTTTCTGCGACCACAAGTAGCTCTGTAACTTTCTGTGCAGTACTCACATTATCATCATCTGCTGCTGATGCTTGATGTACTACTATAAATTAAGCAAAATAAATATTAATAATTAATATTGAAATTACCTTCAATCATTTTTATCATACACGGATTCATATTGTTTTCATCAAGTGTATCTGGCGATGATGAAGTAGATGACAAAGGTTTTGCTGGTTTTTTTCTTCTACATTTAAAGAAGTCTTCATCTTCTTCATCTGAGACAACTATAACACTTGGCCCAGGCACATAAATATCAGTAACTAGAAATTTAAAAAAAATAATATCAATACATTGTTTCCGCACCTTTTTAATAAAAACAATAATACATTTATATAATATAATTAAAAAAATAAATAAATATTTATTCAAAAGAATTGTTTAGGTATCTTATAGGTATTTTAGGTTTTATGATCATTAGAGCCAACAAACACCAGAAAGTTAAAAAAAATTAATACATTCATATATGAAAATTAATTTAATTATATTTATGTTTATAAATATCATCTTATACTGTTCGACTTACCATCATCAACTGGTGTAGCTACTCTACTAGGCCCTGCCTCATTTAGATCTTTTTCATCATTATTAGATGATGAATAAATACCCAGCTCTAAAATATAACAACAAAAAAGTATTTATTATTTAGTTATTAAGACTAACACGCATATAGTATATTACCATCTAATATCTTGATATTTTTTTCTGCGACCACAAGTAGCTCTGTAACTTTCTGTGCAGTACTCACATTATCATCATCTGCTGCTGATGCTGGATGTACTACTATAAATTAAGCAAAATAAATATTAAATATTATAAATTTAACTCTATAAGCTAAAAGTTGTTTTGGAAAAAAATATTAACTTAACTCAGTTTAAAAAATAGTTAATCTGTTTTTTTTCTTTTTAATTAGTATAACAATTTTATTAAACTTTTATCATAATGCACACTGTACCTACATCATACTTTATTTTTATTTTATACTAATATAGTAATATTAACATCTAAACGAAAAATTGGTATAACTGTATAATTGGTATAATTATAAATGATAATAAACTTTTAAACTTACGCTTGTCATCATCAGCATTATCATCAACTTCAACTCCATCATCATCAATGGAGGCGTTGCATATTAAATTGATCATGTCTTCAACCACTGTATAAAATAAAAAATAAAATGTTATAGATGTTAAATAAATCACAATAATATGTATATTATATTAATTACCACTAAACTTACGGTCATGGACTGTTGAGCACACTGTGCACAAACATTTTGTATTTGCATCACCAAAATATTCCAAGCTGTACTGCACAGTTAATTCTTCACCATTCAGAATGTCATTGACGGCCTTCAAATATGTTTTTCCAGCTGCTTGCGGTTCGAAAATGCAGTTGGGTGTGCAGCTGTGGTTTACATAAGAAATGGGTCCTAGTAGCAAGTGTGGTACTTGGTGTCTTGCCTTTCCACTGTATATAATTGAGAAATCGTTAACACCTATAATGAATAGTAAAAATACTAAAAGTACTTTGAAAATGTTAACATATAATAAACAATGTAACATACCAGTTATGATGTGGTTTTGCTCAATGTGGAAATGCTGTCCACCAGCTTCAAATATAATAGTCCGCTTCGGTATGAAGCACTTGCTTACCACCATTATTGCTTTGTATAGTTCATGATCTGGAAGGTAGTTGCATAATACGAATTTAATTCGTGAGTCTTTAGACACAACCGCCTCGTACATCGCTTGGTGGGTCGACGTGATACGGTTATGGATGGGTCTTGGGACCACCTCACTTTTTAACTGCAATGACATCTTGTGTGTCTTAACACCCAATACAGGATCCAGTAACGCTGCGGAATAGATATCATAAATTGAAATTTAAAAATATTATTCGGGGATATATGAAACTGAAAAATCAAAATATTATGGCCTATCCATACAATCTAACATAGTATAAGGAATAGGAAGTATGCTCAATGATAAGGCTGTGCATATTTTAAGGTGCAATGAATAATTTATTCATAAATTCCATATAATTTAATACCATATAGATAAGTATATATTATGTCTTATACTTAGACTTACATACCGTCTAATCTCAGAATCCTTTTTCTTATACAATGATATTCTACCATTGAATTCAAATTTAATATCATCCATTATACAGTGACCCACTTGTAACCTACAGTACAGCAGAGCGACATCCACTTACCCACTTTTTTTTTAAATTTTTAAATTTTTTTTGTGTCTGTGTACACGATAAGTAGTCGAATTTTCAACTTCAGTATCTTGTTCGATTGGAAAGTGAATATCGTTGGTTCATTGGGTAGGTCAAAATTTAAATTTCCCATTAGTTTTCAAAAGCGCCAGGAAAAACAAAAGAAAAATTAAGGAAAAACGGGAATTTTTACGCAAAATCTGTTTTCGAGAAAATCAATTTTGGTTTTTGGTGTAACTTTTAAACAAATGACCGTAGATACATGACATTTTCAGTGGTTGTTTATATTTGCATTTTATATACACGATAACATTTTCAAAATATTTTGATTTATTTTGAACTGTTTAGGGACATTTTCAGTTTCCAATTTTATTAGTTTTTTTTTTTATAAATATCAATAAAAATTTATTTGTTGAGAAAAAGTACTTGAAATTTAATACAAGGCTCCTACTATATTGTTTCAAAGACAGATGAAAAATATTAAAAATCGTTAGTCACAGTTTTTTTTTTTAAGCATTTAAATTCAAAAAATGACAAAAGATGGAAAAATCACGAAAATTTACAAATTATTTCGAGTTAAAAATTTATAAAAATTTTTCTTTTTAAATCTAAGATATGAAAATGTAAAACAAGATTCCTTATAAGATTACCTAAATTTATCAAAAAAAAAAATTCTTTAAGAAAGTCAAATTAAATTTTTATGAGCGTTTGAAATTCAAATTTTTACAACATTGGATTTTCACTCGATTTTCATGTAGCAATTTCCTTATTTTGTTGTAATTCAAAAACGAATAACTGTAGATACATGAAAATTTCACTGTATGTTTATATTAGCATTTCCTATAAACCATACACTTTTGAAAATATTTTGTCTCTTTTTGAGCCGTTTACGGACATTTTCAATTTTCAATTTTTTTATTTTTTTTTGCTATAAATATCAATAAAGTTTTATCTGTTTCGCCAAAAAGTGTAAAAAATTAATACAATACTCCTGATATATTGTTACAATATCAATTGAAAAATATTAAAAATACATAGGCACATTTTTTTTTTAAAGGATTTAAAAGATTGCAAGATCTATCACCATTTTTAAGCCAAATAACTGACGGTGGAGGTTTACCGGTTACTTTACACTCCAAAGTAACGTTTTCTTCTTTGAAACACAATGTATCCTTAGGCTCGTGAATAAACAGAGATACATGGATAAATTTTTTTTCCATAAATTTTCTCCATGTTGCATTAATTTTAGATCCAACATTTCTTTTGTACGTCTTAACCAACAGGAATATAAAAACCACCTTTGTCTAATTGTTAATCTGGATAAATCCTTTTCTGTTGGTGGCAGTTCAATTTTAATATCAGCTTCTAACTTTTTTTTTAAATATTCTTTCATTAGTATCATTAACTGCACCTTCCTTTTAACTTCAGGTTCATTAGAATTACAAGAAAGTTGTTCACTAGCTTTTATTATGTCATCTAACGTAATACTATATATATCATTTGCATTTTTTTCTAGTTCTTGGTTATTTGATTCTTTTACTTTTAAATCTTCTAAACAAGTTTTAAAAGAAGTAAAAAATAGCCAAGATAAAAGATCTAAATTTGTTTGAAAAAATGAATGATATTGTTCAGGCATACCAGTTTTCAATAATGATATCTCTCAACTCCAACATTGTTTGATATAACTTCAGTACATTCCTTAAAGTACTCCATGTCCTTCATAGTAGCTTTGATTTGGGCGTCCATTTTAACAAGGGTAGTATTCATTCACTGAAAAAGTAAAAATAATTGTTATACCTAACGTTAACAAAATTAAATGAAGAATACTATATTATCAATTTAATTTTTAATTTATAACTATATTATTATTAATACTCATCTTTAAATGAGTTAAAATACCACCATAATATAATTTATTTATTTATTTATTTATGTATGATAAACGGTACTGAAATGAAATAACACCGAGTTCGGAATTAATATAATCAACAAACCTATTAGGTACTAAAGATTTGAATGAATTGTTTGAGCTTACGAAATAAATTTTTTTTTTTTTATTCAGAAAGAAAATTCACAATCTGTACACAATAATTACAATAAGCAAATTATATAAAGAAAAACAGAATAAAATAACATTAATGACGTGTTGAGGAAGAAACCCAATGGTAACATCTCTTTTACTAATTTAATAGGTCTCTACACCATTTGCGTTTTAGTCTGCGCGGTGGGTTTTTTGGGAGGGTCTACCACATGTTTGATATTAAAGTATTACTGTGCGTGTTTAAATTTTGGTGAAAACGATTGTACATTGCTATGGCTAGTTCAGTGAAATAAAAATAAAGAAAACTTTAAAATGGAGTCTTCTAAGAAAGTATTTAGTATTTACATGTGGAACATAGAAAAATAGCTAATACTCACAAAATACTAAATTTGCAGCTAGCGGACGTTGATCGATTTTGAATGACATCGTACCATAATTTTGTTTTGTTCTCTATTGCAAATCTCACCACACAGTTTGGTATATTTGCAGCTTGCAGCTTGCTGACAGGTGTTGTGACAAACTGTAAAAGTATCCTCGGACTTGTATCATAAACTTGGTGGAGACCGAATCGGCCCGTGATGTTGAATGCTCCGGGGAGTTTTTAGAAAACTGTCCCGAAGCAACAAATCATTGACCGTAGACGGCCTGTGACAAGTTTAAGTACAAGCCCTCCTCGTTTACAGAGTGTCACAAAACCACTCGACGTAAATCGATTTCTACCACGTGTTTCGCTGGTTGGTTAGACTTAGAGTTGACAGTCTTGATCGTCTGATCGGAGTCTTGATGCTGAAAAGCAAATGAAATTGCGTTTGGTTAGAAACAAAATTACAGTATGAAATAATATATTGAATTATTTGAATTACTTGAACGAAATACTCGACGTCTCGACGTTAAGATTTTGAAAGGTTAGAACATCGTGGAATGCCGTATTATTGTCTATTGAACAATAATTTAAGTGAATCATGATTTAAGATATCTAAGTAAATATATCGAATATCTCTCATCTATGGAATAAAAGATTAGATTAAAACTATACTCTGTTCCATGAGAGTGCGCGACTGGGTGGCGACAAAACGTGTTCATTTCCGCGTATTCGCCGTTAGATACATGTGTAGATAATAAATTGTGAAGGGGACAGTTGTGTCCCCGAGATAAGAAATTATAACTGATAACCCAACTGCCGGATAATAAAGAATGTTTTTCGAATTAAACTTGATTTATTATTCCTTACAAAATACAAGTACTTTTAAAGTATCACTTTATGATCTTGAACAGATTGATTAGATCCAAAATAATATATATTATTTACAGGATATAGTGTTATACATTATAACTTTTTAATCCATCAAAATATGTTTATATATATTATATACTAATATACTATTATAGTATTATACCTATTCAAAAAAATATTGACTGGGGGCTAGAGACCAATTGTCCGTTTACCATTTTTGTCTGCCATAATACATTGCACAAGAAAAAGGTAGGGTGATACGGTAGCTGGTTGGTTGAATCAATATAATTTACATATTATCATTGTTGTAATGGTATTTGAAAAATATTAAATATGCATTTGCACAATTTTTTTGTCATAATAACTTCTAATGAAAAGAATAAAATAGGTACTTAAGAAATATTATAATAATAAATACATTTTATTTAATACATTTTTGATTAAACTAAGAATATGATTAATATTTTAGATTTCATCAAATAAATAACAACAAAAAAAAAAAAAAAACATTAATAAAACATTTTAAACAAATTAACCTAACTATACATTAGGTCATTTTTGGCTGGCAATTCATTGATTCTTTTGTTCCATTTCCTAAAACAAATCTGTATTAATATTACTTGAAAACTTGGTACATAATATTATAAATAATAATGCTTACACTTTCATTTTTTCGGTTCAATTCTTTTTTCGGAGATTGTATGTTTTGGTTATCTTCTTTTATACAATTTTCCTCCTTTTTCTGATGGCTATCAACAATTGAAGTTGGATACTTCCAAGTGGTGTCAGATCTTGGGCTTGGACTCGTAGAAGAATCATTGTCACTGTCTGAATCTCCGACAGCTGGGTTTCTGACTCCGGTGGCAATATTTTCAATTATATTTATCGTATATTTGCACGGATCAAATGTATGATCATAGTTGAAAACATCAACCCATTTATTATATTGAATATTATAATCTGGGTAAGCAAATTTCAAGCCACAAGGCCTTTTTTTTAACACAGTATCTGCATTTGGGAACAGGACCTAGTAAAAAACATTTGAATATTTAATTCAAAATATATTGTATATAAATAATTAAAACAAAATATATTTACTCTGTTTATTGTAACTCTAAAACAAATGAACGTATATACATGAAATTTTCACTGGTTGTTTATATTTGCATTTTCTATACACGATAACATTTTCAAAATATTTTGATTTATTTTGAACTGTTTAGGGACATTTTCATTTTCCATTTTTTTTTAGTTTTTTTTCTAAAAATATCAATAAAATTATATTTGTTGGTTGCGAAAGCTTGAAAATTTAATAGAAGGCTCCTAATATGTTGTTTCAAAGGCAGATGAAAAATATTAAAAATCCTTAGTCACAATTTTTTTTATAAGCATTTAAATTCAAAAAATGACAAAAGATGGAAAAATCACGAAAATTTACAAATTATTTCGAGTTAAAAATTTATAAAAATTTTTCTTTTTAAATCTAAGATATGAAAATGTAAAACAAGATTCCTTATAAGATTACCTACATTTATCAAAAAAAAAAATTCTTTAAGAAAGTCAAATTAAATTTTTATGAGCGTTTGAAATTCAAATTTTTACAACATTGGATTTTCACTCGATTTTCATGTAGCAATTTCCTTATTTTGTTGTAATTCAAAAACGAATAACTGTAGATACATGAAAATTTCACTGTATGTTTATATTAGCATTTCCTATACACCATACACTTTTGAAAATATTTTGTCTCTTTTTGAGCCGTTTACGGACATTTTCAATTTTCAATTTTTTTATTTTTTTTTTTCTATAAATATCAATAAAGTTTTATCTGTTTCGCCAAAAAGTGTAAAAAATTAATACAATACTCCTGATATATTGTTACAATATCAATTGAAAAATATTAAAAATACATAGGCACATTTTTTTTTAAAAGGATTTAAAGATCGCATTTTGACAAAATTTATCAAAATCTCGAATATTATCAATCATCGTAATTAATAAATTATAAAATGTTCAGTTTTTATAGCTAAGGATTGAAAATTTAAAAAAAATATTCTCATAAATAGTTCATACTGTAGCCAATAAATCTAAAATTTATATGAGCACAGTTATTTTTACAGACATTTTAAATTAATATTTGGACAAAATTACATATTAAAAAACCTAGAATAACTATTGTAGTTATTTTGTTGTGATTGTATAATAATTTTCGTGGGTACTTGAAACTTCTAAAGTGTACTATTATATATCTATGATAGTATCACGGTTTGTTGTTGATGTATAAAGCTTATAAGTACCTAATGGTTATTGTGATATGATTAATTTGAAATTTATTATAGGTCAATTTTATTTTAATACCATAGATATTATGTATATATTTATTTTATGAATATCAATAAAAATGTATTTGTTGGATGAAAAAGCTTGAAAATTTAATAGAAGGCTCCTAGTATATTGTTTCAAAAGCAGATGAAAAATATTAAAAGCCCTTAGTCACAGTTTTTTTTTTATAAGCATTTAAAGTTCGAAAATTGACAAAATATATAAAAATCACGAAAATTAGCAAATTATTTTGAGTTAAGAATTCGTAAAAATTTTTCGTTTTAAATCTAAGGTTTTAAAATGTAATACAAGATTCCTTATAAGATTATCTACCTTTATCAAAAAAAAAAAATGTCTATAAAAAAGTCAAATTAAATTTTTATGAGCGTTTGAAATTCTAATTTTTACAACATTGGATTTTCACTCGATTTCTCATGTAGTGATTTCCTTATTTTGTTGTAATTCAAAAACGAATAACCGTAGATACATACATACAATTGCTTACGGTCCTGGAATATTAATTTAATTAGATTTATCAATTTCGAAAACTTTTTTTTTAGTTTACTAATATATCCTTACCTCTAGCGGCCGCTGCGAGGCCGTCTCCCGTACACCGCCCTGAAAATAATTTGTTTAATTAGATTTTTGATGTTTTTTTTCATATACTATATAATAATATATCCTTACGACGATTGGCGGCGCCTCCCTGCCAGTGGTGTCGGTGACTCTACGCTCCTAAAAATAACGTGTTTGATTAGAAAAATGTTGATGGTTTTTTTTAATATACTATAATATACTAATATATCCTTACGAAGATTGGTGATGGCCTTGGCGGTGCCTCCCTACCAGTGGTGTCGGTGACTCTACGCTCCTAAAAATAATGTGTTCGATTAGACAAATTTTGATGTTTTTTTTAATATACTATATACTAATATATCCTTAAGTTTGGCTGCTTCGCGGTAATTAGTTGAATTAGATTTATCAATTTCGAAAACTTGAACTTTTTTTTTAATATACTAATATCTCCTGTACACCGCCC